ATTTATGACTTCAAATGAGCTCAGTTGTATGAAAATAAAGTGAATAAACTAGGATTTTTTAAAGAACTGCAAGTAAAATCGAGTGATCTTAAGCAAAAAAATAATAATAATAATAAAATAAAAATTTCTTTATAATTCCATAACAACAGCGGAAGCAAACTTCAGCTTTTCTTAATTTTCATATGACTTTTAAGAAGCTTGAAAAGCTCTTTATTTTATAATCCTGATAAAAATACAACAAAAGTTTGGAAAAACTGTAGAAATATTTAAGATACAGCGAGATATAATTACTAGAGCATTAGTCTCAATATACTGTATGTTTGTATGTACGTATATTTTGAAAACAGAACGACTAAGATCAAAGTAAAAATGCGAGGTAAGGATACGGTATTTATGTTTTACTCACATGCATACAAATATATGTCTTTTGGTTTTGCTCACTATAAATATAAATATTTTCTTTATATATATGTATTTATATATACATGTACATAAGTAGCTGTTTTTGTTTTGAAACTTTTTTTTTTTAGCGACGCAGTATAATATTAATATTTCCAAACAACTGCATTTAATTAAAAGTCAAATATGTGTAGCAATGTATGTAAATATTTCATGGTGAAGGCAAAGAAGAAATGGAAATAAGAAAACAACTTAAATTTTACTTAACGTTGTCTGGTACAATGAAAGCACTCCAGCTTAGAAAGCTTTCGATATAGTACCCGCCGGTTGATGCAGAGGAAGAGAAAGGAAAAGAAAAAGCGGCACGCTGTTGGAAAGATCAGGTGGGATCTTTGCAACCGTTGAAGCGTTTTTCGGGTGAGCTCCTTCACCAGTTTTTAAATTTCCATTTTCTAACAAATGGAGGAGCCCACCATTTATTCTAAGTCACCTCCGAACGGCCTAGGGATTTTTATGAAGAGCTTTTCATTTCATGTCAATAATCCCATCAGACCACTTCCCTGCCAATTTTCGTCAATGTTTGAATGTTAGTCGGTCCAGAACTTGAACTCTTATCAGTCGAGTGTTAGTTCAACTCATAAACTCGCGCCGAAAGCTATTAAACTTTGTACTCGTAGGTACGATGTCGAAATTAAGGCCCAACTATGACAGTAAAGGCCCAACAAGTGCGACTGAAGTTGAAGGCTGTGCAAGGCGTTTCCGTGAGGCAATCAGAAAAATAACCAGAATTTTTGGGGAAAGATTTCATGACTTATGCGTCACGACAATTTACCTGCCCAAATACTTGTTCGCGAAATTTTGACGCTAAATACTACTGCAAAGATGCCTTAGACTCAATTTTTTGGCAGAATTGGCTCCGTGTGATATTGCCCTACTTCCAAAACTCAAAGCATCATCACTAGACCGATTTGGTATTAGCTTTAAGAGAGTTTTTATAAAAAAAATTGATTTCTTTTGTCGCGAAGTGGACCAAAGAGCAAGTTATACAAAAAATTACCTGAAATTTGGTGGTAATTGAGCTTTTTTCATACGGAATGTGAACCTGGAACCGATCAGCTGGATAAAGTCGTCTTTACGGCGCAGCTTACTTAACTTATTGTCGCCATAAATTTACATTGTGCTGAAGTGGACCAGATACCAGGGACTGAATCTGTTCAATGGGATATTTATCGATTCGGGTATATTCCAGAATATAACTCTAGTGAGTAAGATTTTAGGGAGGTGAGTTTACTTTACCCGATTCTCGAATCGACGACGATAGAACAGAAGTTTTAATTTTTCCACTATGAAAAAGTTCGAAAAACAATCATCCGCATCAAAATCAACAAAGCGGCGGAATTTCCGACAGAGGTATTCAAATAAGGCGGCTTATAATTGAAAAGGTGCATACATTTGCTTCCATGCAAAATATGAACAGATGAAAGCCTGCCTGACAATTGAAACTTAAGTGTGTTCTGCCTAATCCAAAAAACAAGGGACCTTCCACTCCGAGCCGAATACCGTGGGATAAACCTCCCATATATTTTATGCGATATTCGATTGACTATCTTGTGTAAAAGATTGATGCCAACCATCAACAAACTGATTGGACGTTATCAGTTAGGACTTGAGTTGCTGCCGTGCGCCGATGATATTGACATTATCAGCCTCAGCAACAGCACAATGAGCTCTGCTTTTACCAGACAGGACGAGGAAGCGAGGCGTATGGGTCTGGTTGTGAACGAGGACAAGGTAAAATATTTCTTGTCATCAAACGAATAGTCAGCGCAATCCCGACTTGGCTCTCACGGCACTGTTGACAGTCAGAACTTTGAGCTTTGTCTATCTTGGAACCAAGATCGATATCTATAACTTTGCTGAATATAACGAAACAATATTCCATACGGTTAACCGAGATATAACCGTGTAAAAATATTGCAGAAGTAATTAAAATTGACTTTGAGCCAACAAATGTTCGAAGTCATGAAATCCAAACGGTGCCTAAACTGGCAAAAGTAACGATAAAGAAACCCCAATTTAAGTAAACAATAATCCCCAAAACCTGTGCCCGAAACGTAGATCTTAAAAATATTGCAGCGTGTGTTTAAATAAAATAGTGAAATTAAAAAAAAAAAAAAAAAATTGCAGTGTTTGGAAATATTAGCATATGACGCTCCTGCAGCGATTAAATAGTGGGAGGGATACGTAGAAAGAAAGATCACACTTAACTAACGCGAAGGTATAAAAAAGTCACTTAAACTAATCGAAGAAAAAAATGCGGAATAACTTGATTATTTTCTTATATACCTTGTTTTTCTTTTAATAGTTTTCTAACAAAAGCGTATTAATTAATTTAATTATTTATTTAGTTTTTAGTTAATTTGCAATTGTTTTAGAAATTTGTATATTAAATTTTGTTACTTAGAGTAGAGGGTTTTTTATTTGTTTTTTTTTTATTTTTTTATTTTTGCTTTTAAGTTTTTTTTCTAAATTCATTTCATTTAGTTTTAATCAATTGGAAATAGCAATAACTAAATTTTTTTGTTTGTATTATATGTATATTTGTATGCAAGTATGTATGTAAGTAGTAGGTGTTAATTAAAGTATTAGCATTTAAGTTTAGTTGTTACTTTTAAAGCAGATTTCTTATATCATTCAACACACTTTTTTTATATTTATATGTAGGTATGTACATATATATATGTGTATATGTATGTATGCATGTACATATATGTATGCGCGTATATAATGCGTTTTGCCATTTACTGCATTTTGTTCTTTGTTTTTGTTCTTTGCTTCGAATCGAATTCCACACCAGCAAAAAATGCTTTCCCCTTTTCAAGTTTTCGTGCTGTCAATTTCATGCATGCCGCGTTGTTGTTGTTGATGTTGTTATGTGTTTCAAGCACTCATTAATATAATTAATTAATTTAATAAATATTTGTAGTTAGTTTAGATTTGTATTTTTTTTTATCTCTTTCTGAAAACTTTTGTATTTGTTTTTGTATATTATTTTATTTTTTAATTTACACACACATAATACATATATGTACATATAATGTGATGTATGTATGTGTTTTGTATTTAAATATTTTTTTTGTATTCATTTTTTTTTCTATGCTTTTTCGCTCTTCCTTTAGTTTTATTTCATTTTTTTAATTTTATTTTTTTTTTTTTGGAGATTTTTTTTGTTGTCATTTGTAAGTATGTTTGACTTAGTTTTTTTTTCCATTTTTAATATACTTATTTTGTTTTATTTATAAACTGGTCAGCAACAGTAGCAATATTAACAATGTGCGTAACAAATAATTTTTTTCTTGTAAATATATTCATATATTTTCATACAATATATGTATAATATATACTTTTTTAATTTTTAATATTAATAATAATTATTTATGTATGTATGTATGTCGTAATATGCTTGTATGTATATGGTTTTTTAATATATGTATATATATATTTTTTTTTTTAATTTTTCCAATGCTTGAAATTGTATGTATGTATATATTTATATGTGTGTGTATAAGTGTATTCATCGTATATATTTATATATTTGTATGTTTTTATGTAAATGCACAAAGAATCGAAAGAAATTACTTAGTAAGAGTGAATTTCATATAAACTTTTGTTTTTCTCAAAGTATTCTTTTTTTTTGAATTTTTGTTGTGTTTTTGAAAATTTTCTCTGCCTTAGATGGGACTAACAGTTTTCCAGTTTATGGTGTAGTTTGTCATTTGTTTTTGTGTGCTTGTTTGTGTGTGTTGCGTGTGTGTTTTGTGTTTGTGGTTTATTAAGGTTTACATTTGCCTCTGCATGGCTGTGTGGGTGTGTGTGTGTGTGTGTTGTTTTTGTGTATGCTTATAAGTTATTTTTATTACAACAATCATATATAGTTATTCTCACAGTATTGGGCAGATCTACTCTCCCTCCTCTCTCCCTCTCGCTCTCTTAGTTTATAAATACGCTTTCACAACTAAGCGCCCCTTTGCCCACGCCTTCCCGATTAATTATCCTCCCCCTCCATGTAACTGTAAACGTATCGGTGCATTGTCAAAAGACATACTATGTATTTATTTACGTCCGCCCAATCGCCGTTGCTCGTCGCTCGTCGTCGTCGTCGTCGTTGAATAAACGCCGCCCTTTCTTAACTCGGCACATATTTACACATGTACATAAATACATACATAAATATACCAATGTAAGTATACAATATATGTATGCATCTATGCCCGAAAAAGAGTTTTAAACAACCAAAATAATTTCAATAAATATTACTATCAATTATGTCTTTTTATATCGCTTCTACATTTTGTTCATTTTGTTTAACGCATTTGCTCATTTTATGTATTATGTAATAAAAAATATTAGTACCATTAGTTTTGCATAGTGATCAATGCAAACATACCGTTTGTATGATTTACAATAATCATCACTATTATTATTATTATTAATAATATTGGTATATTTATTATAGTTATTAAGCGTTAATAATAGTTGTTTTTGTTTTGGTTGTTGTTCTGGTTGTTTTTTCATAATAATATAATAATTTTTTTGTCTTTTAGTTAATAATAATAATAATAATAAATACAAATTTAAATACAGTATATATAGAAATGTACTACAAAATGACCGGGGTTATTTGCCGAAGCCGAATCCGAATTTGCCGAAGAGATCTTTGCCTTTTGACAATACATCGCCACCGGGCGCCGCCGCAGCAATACCCTTCAGTCCGCCCAACAGCCCCGCCCCAGGTCCCTGTCCCTGTGGCGGTGGCTGTTGCCCTTGCGGCGGTGGCTGTTGTTGGCCTGGCTGCGTTGGCTGCCCACCCATTGGTGGTTGCATTGGATCTTGTTTCGGTGGTTGTTTCGAACCAAATAGACCACCGGTGGCAGCCGAAGTAGCACCTGAGAGTAGGCTTGTAGCGCCGGAGAATAAACCGCCAGATGCCTGTGTTGTTACAGGCGGCTGTTGTTGTTGTTGCTGCCCTGGCATACCGCCCATACCCATTTGCTGTTGACCGCCCATCATGCCAGGCTGCTGCTGTTGCTGTTGTTGTTGGCCCATCGCACCCATTTGACCCATTTGTCCCATCTGTTGTCCACCCATTCCCATTTGCTGTTGCTGTTGCTGCTGCTGCTGCTGTTGTTGTTGCGGCGTCAACTGTCCCATCTGACCCATTTGACCCATCGGCTGTTGTTGTTGACCCATCATACCCGGTTGTTGCTGTTGACCCATTTGACCCATACCCATTTGTTGTTGCTGTTGTTGCGTCTGTTGCTGACCATAAGGTTGTTGTTGTTGCTGTTGTTGAAGTTGTTGCTGCATACCAACATTACCACCGTGACCGATCATCCCCTGAAAATGTTCACACAATAAATAAAATTAGCTTTCCAGAATCTTTTTGTTCAGCGTTACAATATCAAATCTACGAGAGGGTCTTTCGTTATTCTGAAATCTCAAGGGTGAGACGAGGGTGGGAATAGTAGGCTAGGCTAAGAGATAGAATTTTAATTAGGTTAAAGGAGTGAAGAGCAAAAAACAGATAGTTAAACAGAGTTAAGTTGAAGGAAGTACATGAAAAATAATTCGTTAATTATTTTGGAACACGAAATACGAAATAGAATCGAAACTAACTAAATATTGAGAGCGATTAAACGAATTTCAAAGGAGATTTACTGTATCATCATTTCTATGCTTGTTCTCTTTTCTTTCTTTATTCAATCGCCAGTTTATTTAATACATTTATGTGGTTAACAAGATTTTCGAGGCAATCTGACGAAAGAGGAGGGCACGCACTATAAAAGTGACACTAAAACTGTTTTTATATCATATATAAATATGTATTTCTAAGATGTCACAAGGGGCCACAAAAGACCTCAACATTCACTTCGGAGTGAAAAGGAATGACGAAGTATATGAGCATCATTTAATTTCTGTCTATTAGGCCGCCGGTAGGCCAGTGATTCAAATTCATTTTCACATCCACAAATTTTTTGAAAATAATAAAAATTGTTTTAAGTTTCATCTATCTATAACCTCGTAACACCAAATATTTTCGGAAAGTTGGGAATATATAAGGCCTAGAAGAGAGTAATCCAGTAATAAAAAATTATTTTTGCAAAAATAGCTTTAGTGATCTGTTTCTCGCGTTCTATAAAATCGCTTGGATTACGATATTTTGTACTAAGTGCTGTTCCCTTGACCCATTACTACTCGAGCGCATGTCAAAAATGGACCCCAGAAAGGAGAAAATACGTTATATTTTTCAATTTTTCTTCGATAATAGCGAAAACGTAAGTCAGGCAGCTGAAAATGTAAACACCGTAAGAGTCATTCATGTACAAAATAGGTTTTGTCGATTTCGTATCGATAATTTTTATGCAAAAAATGCTCCACAGTGCGGAAGGCAGAAAATAATTAATGTTGATAAATAATGGAAGCCATCGGATCTGACTGTCATGCGAGCACTGTTTCGTTTGCTTAAAAAGCAGTTTCGGACCACCTAAATAACGCTGAATACACAAAGCAGCTGGATGGATGGGTGCAACAGGAGATAACAAGAAAATGCCTCATTAGCCCAACTTCCACCTGCAAATCGCTGCTCAATCGTAACAAAATGGAAGCACATTTCTAAAGCGCGTAGTGACTGATGAAGAGAAGTGGATCATTTACAGCAACGTCAAATGAAAACAGTCGTGGTTGAAGGGCCGTGAGCCGGCTCAAATGGCCTTCAAGCCAGGATTAACGGCCAAGTAAGGTTTTATGTGTTGGGTGGTATTGGAGAGAAATAATCCACTATGAGCTGCCAAACTCTTAGTTCTAAACTGTAATTTCAGCATCCATTTGAAGGTAGTAATTGCCCAGAAGCGCCCAGCTCTCGCCAGCAGGATGGACATTGTATTTCATTAGCATAATGCCAGACTACGCACATCGATAGTGACTCGCCAGAAGCCACGAAAGCTTTATTGTGTGGTTCTTAAGCATCCATCTAATACACATGTGTAGGAAGTGTAGGCGGTAGACATGAACGAGACGTTTGAACAACTCTTACCTTTCTATGCGGTCCTAACTTGAACTAGCCTTAGGCGTTTGGCAGCTTCGCCGTTTAGTGCATTAGAGGAAGTCTCAAAACTGAATATCAAAGCCCTCTTCAACTTTGCGAAATGCGTTGTCACCCTATATGACGAATACTTTACATTCAAACTGAATCTCTGGCTGGGACTGCAAAGGACAAATAGGTCTATGTCTATGTAAAGCACAGCTGCCATCAAGTAAATTAACCTGACCTATATAAGCATGTCTGCAAATTTAGATACGTGTAAAAATCTCACAGTTATTATTAAATAAATCGAGAATACTTTTGTCTCAAGGTGTTTATGGGTTAGAACTTTCTAATCAAGAGGACATTCACCGGTTTATTTCGATGTTTCCTAATTTAGTAATTTATCAATCACTATGTATTTGTAACCGACACTCATTGGTTACACATAAGTTTTCAAGAACATCCTACCGTAAAGCTGCCTGGGCGAGTTTGGCCCCGAATTCCAAAATTGGGTTCCCCTTACTTAGTTTGCCTGACAGTCGGAGCGATATTTCTAAGAGTTATTATAGACAAGATAAGTGAAGGTTTTCATCGCACTGTACGCTTGCTTGAGAGATCGGCAAATAATAGGGAGGATGGGCAATTCAGGATTCTTGTAAAGTGTTATGATATCGTGGGCGGCTTTAGGTAAATCGACAAATATCAACCGGTTCAACAAGATCCGGCAGATACATACATGTATATAAGTCACATAGTTAATACATGTATTGGGTCACTTGAAATACTTAACTATTAAAACATTTTACCAAACAGTTACTGGTGTGGAGCTTAAAACAATATTATTCGAAAAAGGGGAAAGGGATCTGAAACTATGTTTGTCACACCTACCGTAAGCCACGCAGCTTGAAAGAAAAGTCAAAATACCACTGCGGGTTAGGGTTTCAAGAATTTACCCGCGGTAAGGCATGTCTGTCGTAAGAGGCGACTAAAATCCAATAGTTCCCGCGTTAGTCGGGGCTTTATACCGGAACGACGTGGATTTATATCCGGCCAAGGAGTGACACTACAGCAATATTCACCAAAAAGTACTACAGTACAACAACTACAACAAGAAAAGTCAGAGAATTAGCTTTCTCTTGTAATCCGTCTTCAGAAATACTTTCAGACTGCTTAATAAGTGTAGTGGGTTTCAAACCGATTTCTCTGCGGCCAAGCAAATTTAATCGCAGCAATAAGTCCTCTACGTTTGATCATGATAAACTCTACTAAAGACAGCATACGTGTAGCTCATATGTTATATAGAGAAGCTGCGACAAGGTACAACAAGAGCTTGACTTGTCGCAAATTTCTGAAAAATTTCACGAGGTGGGATATAAACGATGTTTTCTTAGATGAATGATTTTGGCAAAACTTTCTTCGGAGTTGTTCTTTTTGATAGCTGTTACTTGATTTATACACTGTCGGCCTTGCCATTTCATAGTAAACAGACTTAGTTCGGAACAAAGTTTTTAAATCGTGCCCAATTTTATCCAATATTCGCTCGACATAATCGCCCAGCAGATTCAGCAAAATCACGTGGATAATTCACACGCTCAAGGTGCAGGGTATTGCTGCTATTGCGTAGAGTATCGAAGAAGACCCGCATGAGTCGTTGCGTGCAACGAAAGATTTTGCAGCAGGATCTTGGCTTGTGGCTATACGAAATTCAACTCGTGCAAGAATTGAAGCTGAACGACCACGAAACGTTTGACACGTTTGATCAATGGTCTCATAGCGAGAAGGTTATACGCGGTGGATCTCAAGCAAACGTTCACTCACTTTTGGTGGAATATAAGAGTGATGATAATCCACAAACCATTGTTGGGATGCCGTTACCTTCTCAAATAGTCACTGATCTACCCTATGGGGAAAGGGAATCATGGGTACATATTTCTTCAAAAATGAAAACAGACATAATGTTACTGTCAATGGGGTACGCTATAGCGGGAAGATTAATGAGTTTTTCGTGCTTGATGGATGTTTGGAGGTTGTTGATGTGAACCTTCTGTGGTACTAAAAAGCCGGCGCTACATGCTATACAGCCGAGAAAACAATCAATTTATTGAAGGAAACTTTTAGTGAGAACATCATCGCGCGTTGTGGGTCTATGGCGTGGCCGCTGAAGTCCGAGGTGACTGACGCCTTGGAAGAAAATATTCGGTGCAGAAATTCCGCACGTTAAGCTGTTGACGTCCCCTGCGTCCATTGCGCGGCTAACGGTAGTCGCAAAGCTTATTTTTGTAAAAAAAAAAATCGAAATCTTGTTAACCACATAATTGCTCCCAAGCAATTTAATATAACTACTACTTTCATTACCGTTATGATATTTTAAAATAAACATTAATAAAACATTTTTCATCTGATCAATTATTCGTTTTGAATATCATTTTTTTCACTTAATTTACAGCTTTGAAAGGTCGAAAAAATCTTCAATATATGCAATGTAAGTGAATAGAAGATCATTATTAGGAAGAATAATGGGTTTATATGTAGAACTAGCAACGTTTTCATAACATTTTCGAACTTTTAACACTCTAAAGGAACTAGTTTCATAACTCTTAAGTAAGTATATATGTATACATATATATATATTGTATATATATATATACTAAGGAAAAATGAAACAATTAGGGTTTATTGAAAGTATAAACACAACTGAAGGTGAACTTATTTCAATTTATATAAGTAGGTATGTATGTAAATATAATATAAAATGTTTATTACTCAAAAACTCAAAAGTGTTAACCTTTAAACTCAACATATGTATATTGGAAAAAGGCAAATATAATTGTATGTATTTATATATAGCCTTCAATTTGATTTAATTCGATTCATATTGTTATTAACCACAATATTTATATTCAATTATATTAAATGTGTCTGAATTTATTTATAGTATATGTAATGTATGGATTTAAATATGTATGTATGTATATGTATACTGATTTAGCAAAAGCATATAAGCGATGTTATATATGTATATTTAGTATGTGGGTATATATGTACAATACGAGTACCGTATTCCGGTTCAAAATTATGTAACAAATAAAAGAAATATATTTATAACAATGTACTGATGTTTGTAAGGATATACATATGTATATATGCATGTATAAGCGTGTGTGCTTGTACATATGCATATATGTATGCATGTTTTTATGTATATGTGAATGTATATATATGCAAAATCTTGCATGTGTGTATGTGTTTATATATGTATGTATGTATGTACATAGGCAAGTATGTATGTAAATATATATGTATGCATATATGC